TTGCTATCAAGAGGAGAGACCCAAGTGTTCTAAGTTGTACAGAGCTTGAGAGTGGTGTAATCTATACATCTTATCTTCATAATGGATTTCTTGATATAGTGTGGTTCCATGGATTTTTTCCATTCTCAAATTTTTTTTTTTTACGTTAAATCTTGGTGTTCTTGTATTTTCCTACTTTGTGTGCTTCTAGTCTAAGTTTTGTTTTGAATCTCTTGAATCAATGTTTCATATTGTCGTGTATATTTTTTTTCCAATAAGTGGTATCAAAGCAGAGGTTTTTATGAAGATCTTTGGTTTGAGTGGAAGCAATGGACGAAGTGACGTACAAGATGCAGAAGTTCAATGGTTCGAACTATGTTTTCCCAAAAATGCAAACTGGAAATTTATTATATAAAAAAAAACTATACTTGTCAATGGAAGGAACTAAAAGGCAACCATAATTGATGACTCTGGAAGAGTGGGAAATGCTTGATCGAATAGCACTAAGTTTAAACAAACTTTCACTTTATTCCTTTGCTGCTTTCAACAATATAAATGAGAAGACTACGATTGATCTCATGGCTACACTAACAAGGATGTATGAGAAGCTCTTGAATTCAAATATAATTTTTCTAATGATGAGACTAAGGATGAAACAAAGTAATTGTTATATTTTATTCAATTTGGTTGGTCAGCACCCAAACAAAACCAGAATTGATAAGGTGATATCAAAGTAAGGATGCATTTAGCTTTCGATGTAAATTTTAAGCAAAAAATTATGCAAGATATCCATTAATCAAACCAACTTGGAGAAGACACAATAGGATTGAATTAAGACGAACAGTAAGGTTATAACCATTGCCATTTTTTTTTTTCCTTCAGCTTTCGGAAACTGTTTAAGATGATGAATTTGGTGTTGAGGATAAGAGCATCCCTAGCTAGTTTTAATTCATATCCTAACCATCGCATGCTCCGGATAAGAAAAGAGGAAAAAATATCCTTGAAAATCATGCCTAATCTGCTGGAAAAGTATATGATCACTGCAATTTCATGTATTAACGTTAGCATTTAGCTCTCAACTGACTAAAATGACGCAATTTTCATTGCCTATGATCCGCTTGCAATAAATGAATATGAAACTCATCAACATAATTGAATGATTTGAGTTCTTCACAAAGGTCCTAAAATTAATTAGGATCTACTCTATCAGGACACTTTCTCATTGTGAAATTCTCATGCATTTGCATCTTTCATCAGCAGATCTGCCAGGTTTCTAAGAAGCTGAAGATATCTTCCGTATAAGCATGTAGATTTCGCTCTTACATTTCTTCAACACCCAACAGACTCGGTGATTCAAATCTCTCGTTACTAGCTCGTAAAAAAATTAGATGTTAGCAGATTTCCTGTTGAAAAGCCACAAGTATCCAGACTTACCCGCTCAACATGTTTCACATTAACGATTTGTATACATAATCTCTAAATAATGTTAACTTATGAGGGTATAACAGCCCATATAGTCATAAAAAAAAGCTACATTGTAGTCACTGACGCAGGCTAGTGCTTCCTGCAGCTTCTCAATTCAGCCTTCTCTGTCCATGAAAATCTTACATCACTGTTTCAGCATGCAAACATTGTAAAACCTAAGCATTTGGAATAATAAAAGTAAACAAAAATCTCCCTACAGCCTAAAGTACACAGCTCACACAAGGATTTGAAATCTGAGGAAATTTCGGGGATGAAAAACGAAATAAAGAGAGCAACTGCAACTACTCTTTCCTAAATTTAGCAGAGAAACTCGCTATTAACTCCTTTTTAAAAATATCCCAGATTAAAAAAAAAAATAGAGTGAGGGTCATACCGTGTTGGATGCCACAAGTCTATGGCGGTCAAACATCGAAGCCGCCGCCGGAGCCGACGTCATCTTCGTGAATTCAGCGCATACAGAGTCGTGTACATCAGATCACATTCCCAGATCTCAACAGAAACACCATTTTTCACCAACCCAATCAACAACGAAGACCCATTCGCCGGAACCGATGCTTTCTGCTGTAAGAAAATGCTAGTCATGCAGCGATTGTGCGATCGGCGCGATCTTTCCAACAAAAAGAAGGGCTTTCGAGCAGGGCTTCGAGATGGCAAGGGGTCAAGGGAAAGGGAAGGAAAGTGAGGCTTGATGGATGTAGCGGAGATGAGGAGAAGAAGCAGTGATTGGAAAAAGACACGCTCTCTCGTGGTCTCTCTCCTCACTCTCCTGGTCTTGCGCCCACCTGTCGTCCCTTAAAAGACAGAATAGCAGAGTTTGCTATCACCTGACCTTCGGCTGCTGGGGTGAGCTTTGGTAGGAGTGGGAGATGGATTAGGTTCCTACCGTTTAGGTGAAACTGTAGAGCCTTCAAGTGGGGGTTTTCATTATATTTGTTTAGTTGTTAAGTATATTTTAAGATATCTCTCTAAGAATGTATCGGTGATATATTGATTATAGGTGGGTAGGAACATGATATTATATTAATTATGGATTGTCATTTGTGTATCATGTTCCAAAAGTTGGGGTCAAGCGAAGCAGAGAAAGAAGAGATGCTAGAAAAAGCATGAGATTTTTGTGAGGATAATAGAGAAAAATGTCTTTTTATTCATATTTTTGCGTCGTATTTATAGAATCGGTTTAAACAATTACAGAAATGAGTAAATAGTTCTGGAAATTATTCTTAATATCATTAAGGGTATAATTGATTGTATAGATTTTATGGTATATTTGTATTACAATTTGAATTTCAACATTGACGGTAATTGTTGGTTGGCTGGTTTGAAGTGAGGCGACCGGCCGAGTGGCATATATGCCCTCTCGAGTAAGCTTTGGCCGGTCGAGGTGTTCGGTCTTTTGACGATCTTGTTCGATGTCTTTTGGCATGATTGACCAGAGCAGTTATTGTGCGGTGGTCGTTTGATCCGGACGCGGGGTGGTCAGTAGAATGTGATCGGCCAGTTTTTTTTGTAGTAAGTGGTGGCTCATTTTCCAATCGACACGAGTCTTACAACACTCATGTCTCGTCTGCCTGGTTTGTTCATCGCCTCGGACGGATCTCCCAATCTTAAAATGTCTTGAGCGAATCTTGTTGCAATCCATGTGGGATATCGAGCGACACTCGTTGTTGGGATGATTCACACCTCATTTTCGGCGAGTCTTACCGCTACCGAGCGAGGAACCATCCTTAGAGATTGAACCTATCCCAGGTTTGGAGATGCGGATTCATGCTCAGTCTTGGATCATCGGTTAATTGCTTATGTCGAATAGAGGCCCTTTCATCTTGGTCATTGGTTCTCTTTGAGATTCATGCTGGTATTTTTTTGTATATACGTATTAGTTTCTCGAGTTTTTCTGCTCCTTAATAGCGACAACTATAATAAAAACATGAAAAATTATTAGACAATCGTTAGCAATAAATTTCTGAATTGATTGAACGCATGAATTCTCTTAGGATTTCATGCCTCGTGTGCTCTATAAATATATATGAACTTAGCCTTGTATCATTTGTCATCAATTCCTCTTTTCACAACTGATGTTTTTCAAATCAAATTGGATCGTCGTGAATCTTGAGAGGCTCCCGAGGGCAAGGGTTTGAATTCCCCCTTCTGTACAGAAGGTGGTGACGAAGAAAAAACGGGCAAGCCCCAAATTTATCTTGGTCGATATAGTCGACTCATCTGACGATGCAAAAGGTTAGTCACTGAAGAGGCCTCGCCAAGGGGCCCCAGAGTCTTGTTTGGGTGTGCGTGTAGGTGAGCAGTAAGGAGCTAGGGGGAGTGGTTTTCACGACCCTCCCACAGTCATTGTTGCATGAAAGTTGGTGTATCGGTGTCGGAGGGAGAGGAGGCCTTTAAGTTTGTCTCTTCCTTGAAGAAATATATGGATGAATTAGCCAGGTCGGAGGAACACCGGGAAGGCAGGTTGTCAAATAAAGTTGTGGAGTCTACCCCTACCATGGTGGTCATTATGCAGGTTGAAGATGTGGGGCTCTCGCCGCTGTCGGCCTCAGTAATTCATTACCTGCCTGACCCATCGTCAGTGATAAATCTCCGGCTAGGGGGACTGTTGGGGCAGGCTCAATCCCCCAAGATCATATAGCAGCGAGCATGTGAGGCTGAACCATTAAGCGAGGTTGGTCGGCTTTTTTGAAGGACTCGCCAGAGGTTTGGCTGCTGATCCTGTTCAAGAGCTATCAACTCGCCTGGATACTCAAGCCGTAGTTCTACGGATGGAGCTTGTTCCTCTCCGTGAGATGTCTGGTCTAGTGAAATTTAACCGGGAGGTTGATTGGGTGGATTAAATTAGGTTAGGTGGAGAGATGGTTTTCCAAAAGTTGAGGGGGCATGTCCTCTCCAAGGTCTTGGAGGAATAAAACATTTTGTTTGAGGCATGTAATAATGATATATGCAATAAAATGATATTTTAATGATTTCTGAAAACATATTTAGTGTGATACTTCTCACTATGTGATGATTCGTTTGACGCGCCCACCTTATAAATAGCGGAAAGGTTCACTTCTTTTCACTTTACGCACTTTTATTCTTTTCTTTTTTCTTTAGCTTTCTCTTCTCCTCTCGTCCTTTGGTTGGTTCTGCTCTTGTCTCTTGATATGACCTCCAAACACTTGTCTGCTTTGTTTTGCTCTATGAATGGCACATAAACTTCATTTCTGACAGAGAACGAAGTTAGGGAACTATAGCAAAGGTATGTTCTTGACGAGAGTATGATTCTTCAAAGTTGCTTGGACCAGCGCAAGCGACGAATCCTCTAGGAAAAGACCTGGTCTTCTACCGAAAACAGTTCAAGTATAGCCTCTGGTT